TATTTAATTATTCATTACATTTATCACACTGTACGTCATAACATCAACTGTATTTAGTTAACTATAAGTATTATAACGTTACCACACATTTAATACTGCAGTAGTTAATTATTAATATTATTTAAATTTAATTATGATTACATTATTCCCTGACATCCGTCACCCTTCATATCCACTCCTGCTAATCTCAGCTAGCATCAAGTCTACAACAAATCAATCAATGAAACTAAACATTAAAAAAGGAGTCTAACGAAAAAAACTCCACTAAACGCGGAGACAATCATAAATGTCGCAAAGAAATCTCCAAAAAACACATGTCAATCAATCATGGATTAATCCCAAAGTTAAGAAGAGATCTGTGGCGGCGGGTGTATCGCGAGACCTTTCTCCACAAGCGAGTTGGAGATGTACACATCAGTATCGTCGTGACCAGTGTCTATGATACTGAAATTTTGTAAATATTCAGATAATCAGCCTGATACGAAATAGGCTTTATTTTATTTTAAACAATTTATTAATCATGATCGGAATTGTATGGAAACAAGTAAACTGATATGATTTTAGTTTGTTGAAGTGACTGGTAAATGGTAAGTTAACTCACTGCATCCAGAGGATTTGAGAAGCAGGATCTTGGGCCATTAGTTTAACCCACAACATTCTCTCAGAAACAGCGGCAGAGAAGAACTTCTTAGCTTCCTCACTCCAGACCGTAGAGCCGTCAACCGGCATTACTCCTGACAGAGCGGGAGGTTACTGTAACCGGCGTGAAATTCAATTCAAAATAAAATAACACCTTGGCTTAGTATCGTGACGGGCTCGCCCTCCGCTAAGGCGTCGGGCATTATCGCCTGTAACACTCAATAGCCAAGGTATTGTTGACTTTTAATTTTGTATTTTTGGTATAATTTCAACTAACAGTAACATCTAAACAGCGATAAATTCACACAGCCAGATTCTAAAATATTATTGATTATATTCAATAATATAATATAAGCATGTTTTACTGCCTCCAGGTTCACTGACTCCAGGTTTATTTAAATGACCAGTGGGTGCTCTGTTCTCTGTGTGCCAGTCACTTTGCTCTGTGTGCCAGTCACTTTGGCAACACGCCGCAGACTAATAATTATCTAAATTTAAGCGACATTTACAATTTAACACGATAACCCTTTACAATTTAACACGATAACCCTTTACAATTTAACACGATAACCCTTTACAATTTAACACGATAACCCTTTACAATTTAACACGATAACCCTTTACAATTTAACACGATAACCTTCACATAACTCACGACTGAGATGCTTACGTCACGAAATGCAATTTAAGTTTAATATGGCAAAAAATGGTGCATCGACATCGTCGATAAGATTCAAAAATTGTTTAGAAATACAATCAAATAATACTATATCTGGTGCTTTTAGGTTTGGATTATATCTCTTCTGTGATACAAATCACTTGAAACTTAGCGTATTCTAGACTTAGGCATGAATCCATTGTAGTGACCAAATAAAGTCAAAATATGCAACATCTCAAAACAACGTCAAACTCACCACAGAGAGCAGCCCGACAGGCCTGTATAGGCAGGGCAGCGAACTGTTTAGTGAGAGGTCGCACGCTGGACAGGGGGATCTTCTGAACGTCTCCGTAATCTACCATCGAGCATTGCAGTACCTGAAATAGAGGTCACGTGATGAGAACAGGAAAACACACGTGATATTGTTTAGTGTAGCACGCGGGAAAGAATCTTGGGTAAACTCGTTTGAAGTTTCAATGAAAGTCTCTGCAACAACATTTTTGGTTTGATTACAGTGGCGTAACGTTGCCTTTTGACCCACCCCCCCCCCCTCCGCCGAAATAGAGCTCCCTCCCCTCTTAAAGTAGAAACGTAAAATTGGACAAATTAGGTGATTTTAGAGGATACGCCGATAAAACCTCTACTAAAGTGTGTTTCTAGAGCAAAACGCGCAGTTTTGCTAGTACCTTAGTGAAGTTTTTCAAAATTGTCCCACATTCAAACGACGATTTGCCCCCCGCACAGGCGGCTGCGGGGGGCCCTTCGTTACGCCACTGTTTGATTAATTTGCTGGTCAGGTTTTTATATTCATTAGCCCCAAAAAACATTTTGTTCACAAATATAGTTGAATCGTGAATGCCATAAAAATATATTTCTTTATCAGGTTCGGTTTCTTCATTACGGGTTCATAAATTTCATATTCCAGTAAAATTCTCAAGCCCTTGATTTTATGGCAGTTGTAACCATGCCAAGCTTTTTGTTTACTGCATTTATTATATATTAAACTGAATATGGCGTTTCTCAATGTTCGACAAAACTTAGCCACATATCATGACACATAGCAGATTACAACTTAGTCTGTATACGTCAAGTTAGCTTTCTCTTATAATATTGTAGGTTTATTGCCAGCTGACGCACATTTCTATTAGAGCTGATTCTCTTCGCTGAAGTTAATTTCGAAGAGATGTCAAATTTATATAGCTAGATTAGCCGCACGCGAAATAGTTCTTGTTTTAAAACAACTTATTTGGAGTCGAATGAGATGAGTTCTGGAGGTCAATTTAACAGAGTCTTAATGAAAAAACAAATGGTTATAGGTGAAGCCGTGAAGGATACAGACTGATGAGGATTGGAGAAGGAGACACCAAAGTACTTTAACTTTAAAGTGCCACCATATTTAGTGCAACCAAGTGCTCCTTAGCATTGACAATTTCACCACCCAGACATCTACGATTCTGCCACTCAGACATCTTACAACCTTCCACCGCGACAAACAACATAACTCCAAGTAGTTAACCTATGCTATGAACAATATGAAGTTTATCATTATCTGCGGATTAGATCTTTACATATCCACTGTAGTAAGTAAACAGCGCGCGGCTCAAAAGACATGCACGAGGAGAGTACAGAGACACGGAGACTGAAACTTAACTTATAAACTTAAAACCGGGCAAAACTCAAACAGAAATTCTGTGACAGGCTCTTTGCCATCACTAAGTAATGGCCAGATAAGTGGGATATGAGTTAATTGTTGTAACTGAAAAGCTGCGTCATGCATAATTACCTTAATTGGGAAGCTGCGTCAAGGACGAGAGCTTCAACTAATGAACTCTACGGCCTCCCTTTAAAGGAGCCACTCGGATTCCTGCAGAATGACCTGCCGCTAATCAGAACAAAGTAGCTTTCATATCCTTAGATACTTGTATTACAGTTGTGGATACTGTGTGTATCGTGGTGAGTGGTGAGTGGTGAGTGGGTGAGTGGTGAGCGGGTGAGTGGTGCCACGTGCTTCGTGGTAGTGCTTGATAGTAATACTTTTACAGTATGTTATAATAAGTCGGGATTGTGTAGTCTGTACTGTAGTAATTTTACTTTTATTTAATTACAGTTATAGTATAAATAGCACAATCGTTGAAGTATAATTTTAATGTTAAGCTGTATTTTCAATTTTCTATAGTGCGTAGCTAGCTAAGTTGTATGCATTAACGAAGAGTAGCGATCAATATTAGAAAAGTGACTACTAAACTGCACAATTTTGGGGCAGACGATTTTATGTCACACGAAGAGGTGGTATTTCTCAGTGCAAGTGTGTCGGAGTTCTTAAATTAAAGATTAATTATCTTATATCTTAATGAAAGGAGAGAGAGCTGTCAGTATTGAACGGGAGCGGAATGGAGAAACTTGTTACGTCGTTCAGAAGATCTGTAGTGTGCATTTTGTGTATGATGCAGTGAAGCAGGCAACTCCAACGACTAGGAGGAGACCTCTTCATGTAGCATGTATGTAGGTAGCTGCCAACTCTAACCATTTTTTGTTTAAGCAGTTCTTGGTTTGGTGTTTCAGTCGAACCTCTATATACCGTGCGCTTTTCGTTTCCCTCGAGAGGCCCGGTATATAGAGGTTTTACTGTAAATAGTGAGTAAGGGACTACAGTACGTTTGCCGGTACTGAACACACTGTGACCTGTGACTTTTGTCATCATGACTTTTGACACGAGTACTGGCGTCTGGCACGACCTCAAACACACTGCACTGTGACCAAATTCATAGTGGGACTAGAAGTTTAAGTGCAAATGACCCACCTATAATCACCTGTAACTAAACCATTATCTAATTATTGATTATGTGATAAGCAGCTATTATGTCAGGAAGTGTTTAAATACCAGAGTTTATTTACAAAGTACTTGAACCACGTGTAATCGACACTAAAGATACCGTGTAATGATCTTAACTCTGAGAAGCCATGACTTTCATTTCCTGTTGGCGACTTTAAACAGATATAATGTAGCGTCACAGCAATTACAGACCCCATTATTAAGACCCAGCCTACCAACCTGGTCCAATAGTCCCTCTCCGGAGAGGACATTAGCCTTGACTCCGAGTTTACTGACCAAGCATTAATAAAACTTTTATACTAAAGAGTTTGCTTTTCTTATATCTTTAACTTTCATCTTTATCTGATAAAGTTTATCAATCATTTATCTGTTAGCCACTTAAAGTGTCTAAACTTGTGCTTAGGTTTGAGGTTTGTGTCTTTAACCGATTATAATTGGTAAGAAGACGTCGAAAATCTCCCCTTATGACGGCCGTAATCATTTAAAAGACCGTTTTATGTTGACAAAAGACGGCGGAGGAGTAAGTGAAGGGCTGAGTGCTGACTTTAAATACCTTTATTATCTCATCTTCCGGTACCTACAGGGTTTAGGATGAGCTCGTAACGAGCAATTCCATTTAACTACGAGAGTGACACGTTTGTTGGTTGAGGAGGCTTGGTGGCATGACTCGGGGCAACAATTACGATTATGAGGAGGAGCCGAAGCGAAACGAATTAGAGTTCAGACTTTATATGGTGAGTTTTATTCCCTAAGTACTGTACCTGTTTCATTCTATTTAGCATATAAAGCTGCTTCAGCTTTAAAGTTTTTATTTCCCTATGAAAGTTAAAGTTTGTCTTTCTTTAATATATATCGGCAAACCAATTTATCAGTTTTATTAACATTTTGAGCTATCATCAGCATTGTTAGGAATCTGATTGCTGATTACATATTAATAAACTCTTCTACATTCTACAGTTACAATCTGATTGCTGATTACATATTAATAAACTCCTCTACATTCTACAGTTAGAGAGGAAGCTGGATGTTTATCTGAGATCGGTGGAGAGATACCGGCTAATAGTGGCGGAGATAAAGGACGTCAACTCTAAATACTCCATGGGAATGTAGCTCTGGAATGTGGTGTAACGAGGTTCTGGAATGAAGATACAAGATAAGAAGGACATTGAACAATAAAGGGTCGGAACCAAGTTTGCAGTTAGAGTTGGCGATACGTTCGATGGAAGGACAAAAGGCAAAGGAGCGATGTTGGTCGGAATTTATGTGTCGAATGAACACTGGTTTATGTGATGTTACAATTAAATCAACCCCGATTATTATTTTCCCCTAACAGATAAGGTATAGAGTAATCCAATTTGATCTGTGATCATATATCGTACAGAACTTGTCCAATTATCATCAATTAATAAAAATAACGGTGGAGTTTCATTTTCTGCGCATTCTTTCACTCTGTTTACTGTAATGACTTGCAGTTATGATTAATTAAATATAATTATATCAAACTAAAATTTAGCTAACTTAATCAACTATCTTGAGTTCATTGCTGCTAGCAATTGCAACTTATACTTGGCTTCGAAATTGCCTAAGCTATAAATCTTTAGTTATTCCCTTAAATATAGGGCATAAATATAAATTTATACCGACTTCAGGCATGGGCAGTTCCAAAGTATTGTTCTAATTTAGTTCTAAACTCCGATTAGAAGTGGAGTAAACAATAAACAAACATATCACAGCCATGCAGGAAGTAATGGCTCAACATATCGATATATAATGACAGTGATCGCTAGCTGTAACTTTCCCATATCATCATTATAGAAGTAGCATTTTACCAGATGTTGTTTGTTCGCGTTTCTTCTTTCAAAGTTTTCATTTCGGATTTGAGAAGAGCCGCCGTAAAGGCGGTTCTTAGTCCATGAGTTTGGAAGTCGCCCAGAAGAGAAGGAGACAGAAGATACAGAGGAGACAGAGGAGACAGAGGAGACAGAGGAGACATGAACCCGGAGGTAGTGTTCCGACTTCAGATGGTGCGTTATTTACAGCACTTCGGTTATATTTCACTTGAAGTCTGCTTTCGTACCGGATTCAGCTAACTACTCAGCTCATTATAATATATATATATATATATTATATATTATATATATGATGTTTGTTTGGAGAAATCCACTTTGAAGAGTGCTCTACCCGGGAGGGGAGCGTTTTACTCGTTGTTTTTCTTATATATATACATAGTGTTTACAACTACTATATATTTACTATATTTGTCCAACGATTTGTGAGTTTTACTGACTCTTCTTCAGCTGGAGAGACAGCTGGAAATTTACCTGAATTCCATAATCAGATACAAAAATATTCTTGGGGATATCAAAGATTCCAATAGCAAGATATCGCAGCAGCAACATCAGATTGACGTAGCGGCGAGGAAACGAAGAACCTTATTAGAAAAGTGACAGAACCCGCCAGACTCGAGAGCCTCTATGATGAGAAGTTTCACGAGACTAAAATTGAATTCGTATTTAATCACTCTTGATCTGTTATAGATAAGGGGACGCTTGTAATCGGTGATCACAATAACGTGTTTTTGGTTACAATTTCACAACTAATCACAATAATAATCACATTCCCACCGCTTATCTATTTTCTTATCTGTTGTCTGTTCGACTGTTCTTGTTGGATTTTGAAAATAATTTTAAATTTTATCAACATATTATATAAGTTGCTTATTAGTTTCAAGATCAATCTCAGAAAAGTGGTGGGGAGTCATCAGCCTCTACCCGCAACCCCCAGCCCTTCACAGCAAAATGTTAACTGTTTACAATTACCTCTATCGAGGATCGCCTAAAGTAAAATACGATGTACACTTTATTAAAGATGTTAAGAAGGAGTCGTTACCTTTCCGTCCGGGTAGACTTGTTGAACCCTGGCTCTGTACCATCCCTGATATTGGTCACAGTAGGCTACACACATATCGTTCGTCTTCCACAGCTGCTCTCTGCAATCTAACGGCTGAAAAGGAGCGGGTTTACTGGCTGAACTTCTTAAATTAAATAAACTACAATTACATACAGTAAAATTATTATTGAAGTATATAAATATCCTTTTCAATAATAATAGGTAAATTTTATAAACGCTAATGTTTAAATTTTATAAATGCTATGTTGTGGGGATCCAATGGACATGGTACAGTAAAGGATGATACAAGACCTCAGTAAATTTAGTAAATAAGTCGTCCGACCCTCCCAACTCGATGCGTCCAGCTCAATATTACTTATCAAAGCTATTTGAAGAACAAATCACATCCATTTAGAATATACTGAATACACCGTTAAATACTGAATCTACCGTTAAATACTGAATCTACACTACAGAACATAGGGAACATATCCTCTCAGAATTGCAGAGTTTCCAATAACAAACCTGAGAGTAGAACGTATTCATTTCCTCCCCCATGATCCGGAACTGCTCGTGAAACTCTCTACTCTGGAAGAACCAAGAGTAGGGGTTGTCCACGTGGGAGATAAGAGCCTCAGCTTGGCGTTGTAGTGAGAGCTTGGGTATGGAGTTCTGATCCAATACTATGTCCTGTGGATCTGTGAGGGGGTGAGAGGAGGTGAGATACTGAGAGTTAGTTTCAGTTTCTGTCAGAGATGTGAGATACTGAGAGTTAGTTTCAGTTTCTGTTAGAGATGTGAGATACTGAGAGTTAGTTTCAGTTTCTGTTAGAGATGTGAGATACTGAGAGTTAGTTTCAGTTTCTGTTAGAGATGTGAGATACTGAGAGTTAGTTTCAGTTTCTGTTAGAGATGTGAGATACTGAGAGTTAGTTTCAGTTTCTGTTAGAGATGTGAGATACTGAGAGTTAGTTTCAGTTTCTGTTAGAGATGTGAGATACTGGGAGTTAGTTTCAGTTTCTGTTAGAGATGTGAGATACTGAGAGTTAGTTTCAGTTTCTGTTAGAGATGTGAGATACTGAGAGTTAGTTTCAGTTTCTGTTAGAGATGTGAGATACTGAGAGTTAGTTTCAGTTTCTGTTGGTGTGAGATACTGGGAGTTAGTTTCAGTTTCTGTTGGTGTGAGATACTGGGAGTTAGTTTCAGTTTCTGTTAGAGATGTGAGATACTGAGAGTTAGTTTCAGTTTCTGTTAGAGATGTGAGATCCTGAGAGTTAGTTTCAGTTTCTGTTGGTGTGAGATACTGGGAGTTAGTTTCAGTTTCTGTTGGTGTGAGATACTGGGAGTTAGTTTCAGTTTCTGTTAGAGATGTGAGATACTGAGAGTTAGTTTCAGTTTCTGTTGGTGTGAGATACTGGGAGTTAGTTTCTGTTGGAGGGTTTTGGAATTGTTATATTCGATGTATTTCAGGGCTTATAACTTTATGATCAGTTATTATGTTCAGTTATTTGGTAAGTGAACCTTCTGGAGGTATACATTTAGGAGGTATACATTTAGGAGAACGCAGTATACATTTAAGAGAACGCAGGGGCTCCACATTTGTCAATGACGAGTCTAAATGCTAAATAAGTTACAATTTGACCATTATTTCTTGGACCCCTAAATATGCTGAGTAAATAATAACAAAGCTTTGTAATTACCAGTGGTCACTGGTCAGGGATGAGACCAACCTATACTGTTAATGTTCATAAATATGGATGATTTTGGCAAAATTTGAAAAGTTTCCAAATGGTTGTATATTAAAGTCACTATTGTGACGGTACATTAGAACCAGACAGAAACAAAGTGTGAAGGACCTGAACCCCTCGGTTTCAGTTCCTTGTTTAACACTGTCGTTCAGCAAGGACATAAGTCATAACACTCACTTCTTATCAGATCAAGCAAACTGAGAATAAACTTTTTTAGGACCACTATAGTTTGAAAATGATTATTGAAATAATTTCAAGGAATTCTGTTATGAATTCTATATATGAGTATGGCTGACAATTTCACGGCGACGAGTTTGTAATCTCGAAGAAAATCACAGTTGTTCTAAAATCTGTCATATCTTGTCAAGTTATGATTAATGAAGCGATCGTCAACTCCCAACATTTTCTCACTCACCATCACTGCCAAATCAAAATTATGCAATCAAAATCACTATAGACCCACGATCATATGATCAAAACACAAAGCTTTGAAATATACTTTTTTTCTGTTTGAGATTTGAATAACGTTACTGTAATGTTCCAAATTATACTTTAAATGTTCAAATGAAGTAATTTTAACTCCTTGGGTTTGGAGTTTGGACATAACAATAAACCATAACTTAAGAAGCTGTTTGTAAACAAATTTAAGGATAATTAAATCTGAGAAGTGAAAACCTTATTGATATTTATTATTATTATTTTTAGATTATGTCACTATGTTTGCAATATCTCTTGTTGCATATTTCATTTTCTACGAAATTTTTAATATCGGCTAAATACCAAACATTCTAACCAATGAAAGTCGGGTTAGCGAAGTTCAGGTTGCCCAGATTCAAACCCAGCTGCTCAGTTTCCGGAAGAGTTGCTCGAGTTTGAAACAGATTTCCGTCGCCCGAGAGCAGGTTGTTTAGACATTTAAGATCTTCATCCGGTCCGAAGTAGATACGAACCAGAGGAAACGCCTCTTCTGCCACCTCCTCTGATATCTGGGGAGGAAACCTGGTTACTAACTGGTTACTAACTGGTTACTAACTGGTTACTAACTGGTTACTAACTGGTTACTAACTGGTTACTAACTGGTTACTTACTGGTTACTTACTCTTCTGCCACCTCTTCTGATATCTGTGTGTTTTTGTGTGAAGGAGAGCGTTTTTAGAGGCAACACTCGGGTTCGGCGCGTTTTCGTGAAGTTTGGAATATCGCAAATAAAGTTGCAGAAAATATGCAATAAATGTATAGTAGCGGTCAGTGATTTGGCGAAATTGTGTCATACAGCTATCCACTAAAAATGCAACTGCTTAGAGAATTCTAGAGAATTCGAGTGGTGATCTTTAGGAAGGGAGCACCTACCATTGTTGAAACCTAAAGAATTATAATAGACAAATTGTAATGCAGTATTTATGGATCAAGGTAAACCTATGATGCAGCTGTTGCTGAATTTTATGAAGGGAGCAACATATCCAATATTGAAGAATTAGGACAAATTGTATTGTAGTATAATTCATGGATCAAGGAAAACCTTGTATTAGACCGTGATGCAACTCGCCGTATATAGAAGGGACATTCTTTCAAGAAAGTTTTTTAGAAATTTTCTTGAAAGAATCATCAAATGAGACCCAACACGACTCAATCAGATTAAAAGGGACATGTTTTTGTCTCACTATGCAGGACACCCTAGCCTTACTTGTGATTGAACACATTTCGTAGAGTATTTAAATACATGGTTTGTCACTAGTGACACACATGGTTTGGCATAGTCAGCGTGTTTTTAATCAGTTATGTAAATAATAAATATGCTTGTGGTCGTTCAAAAGATACAAAATTCCCACTGAATTCCTACTGAATTTGATATTTTAGGCACATATCCAACTACGAGACGAAATAAATATGAGTGAAAATACCAACAAATAAAACATGAAAATTGAAACAAAATAATACGCACCACAGCTTGAATTTGGTTCTGATCTTTGGTGTAACCTTTGAGTGTCTCAACTTCTTTTTCCGTCCAGTTAGCTGGGGACGTGGGCAAATCTGCCAGCATGACAGGGTACGCCTGAAGGGAGGTGGAAATGTAGGGGTACACATTATGTAGGGAGGTGGAAATGTAGGGGTACACATTATGTAGGGAGGTTATTGATTCATATTCCGTTAGTTATCAGTGATATAGTATTTCTTGTAATCTGATATATTAATAGACTGACATTTCCTGACTGATATAATATATTAAAGTCATTATTGTAACGGTATATTAGAACCAGACAGAAACAAAGTGTGAAGGGCCTGAACGGAACCCCTCAGTTTTGAGGCTTGAATAAATTTATAGCACAATATTTATAGTGAATGACATATAATTAGTATTATTATATTTCCAGTAGTGTGTATATATAGTGTGTATATATTTATAGCACAATATTTATAGTGAATAACATATAATTAGTATTATTATATTTCCAGTACCTGGAATGGCAGTCTGCTGATGTTAGGTACAGCTATAGCAGGCTCTCTGAGCTTTGACCTTGGGATGATCTGGGTGTTGCCATAGTCAACAAACGTTACTTCCACTGAGTGGTCACTGACGTTCCCTGGGGAGGAAACTTGGTTACTAACTGGTTACTAACTGGTAACTAACTGGTTACTTACTGGTAACTTACTGGTTACTAACTGGTAACTAACTGGTTACAAGTACTGGTTACATACTCGTTACTAACTGGTAACGTACTGGTAACTAACTGGTTACTAACTGGTTACTAACTTGTTACTGACTGGTTATTGAGTTGCTATTAATTTTTACTAATTGGTCACTTAAGACTGACTGGTTACTTATGTTATGGAATTTGTTCAGGTTTTTGGAACCTGTCGAGTTATGGTTTTTGCATTATGTATCGAATAACAGAGGAATTTAATTCTCCCTTTGAATCAATCAAGCTAGATGATTTGTTGTAAATACTGAGATCAAACTATCAATTTACAGGCTATCGTCAAACATGTTGCAAGGCGTCATCTTCAGTGACATAAGCCTAAAAATTGTAAAAAGTTAGTAAAACCCTAAATTCCTTTAAAAATCTGAACACTCTTAAAACGGTTATATAAAAATGTATGTATCGAATAAATCAAATCTTAGTTCCTTTGAAGTCAAAAATGTCGTTTTGACACTTCGGTCTTCGTGACAACGATTACCAAAATGACGACCTACCTATTAATGGATAGGTCGTCATTTTGTAATGAAACTAGTAATGATCCTCGAAAAATCGTGTAATTTTCTGAATGTAAGGTTATCACTAGGAACCGACCGGAATGGGCTTTTGGCTGCCGGACCGGATTTTGCCGGATATCAATCTATAATCTGGTTAGTTAGCCGGATTTTGCCGGACCGGAACCGGCAAAATAAAAGGCTGCCGGAACTTGCCGGAAAATTTAAATGAATCCTTATTATCGGGCTTTTGTAATTATCAATTATGATATTAATCCATTATAAGCCATAGTTTGTAATTACATAATAAGTTCCGCATTTCTAAGAGCTATACGACTAGACCGATGATCTTTGCTGTTTAGGCCTAGCAGTAGACATAGGTCAAAGATCAAATCAACAAGCTGTAAGTTGTAACCAGAGTAAACAAGAAGTAACAAGAGTCGACAAGTTATTTTCAGAAATGATATGCAATTGGCATATCCTACACAGTTGTTCCCTTTTTTTCATGCAGGTCTGAATACCAATCAGTCTTATCGCCGACCAAGAAATTATTGTGAACTAGAATAGCTTAATTAATCAACCTTTTCTCCTTTTAATAATAGTATACTGTTCAGTATGATTTCTTATTCGTACCACCCCATCGCCGTGTTCAACTTATGCATCTTCTTCTGTGCTATTTGAATAGTTTCAAATCAAATCAACACCCCTTTAAGAGTTGCTTTTTTTCTGAAGAACCTTTCACGGCATTTCGCCGACACTAACTTTACTGTGGTGCTTTCTTTGATAATGTTGAAAGAAAATGGACTTAAATAATGCACTTTGGGGCTAATGGCGCTTTTATGTCTATTTTTAAATTTTAAAGCCCATTTATTACCTGTGTTGGGTGTCGAGGGTGGATTGTCAAAATATTTAAAAGTGTGATATTGCTGGAAATTAAGGCTGTTATTGTTATGAAATTTCCTAAAAATGAACTTTAAAGAGGCACTTTAAGTCTAATGGTCCTTTCACACTTATTTTTATTTTAAATTTCGCCCTTTTAATTTTATAACTTGTGTCACGAGCGCATTTTAATTTCTTAACGATATAATATTGTTATACAATGACAATCTACATGTGCCAGTCAAAGTTTTGAATAAAAAGGAAGATGGTTGTCCACCTTTTGCCTTTTTGGTGTATGGTGTAGTAAAGTTTAGAGAACCCCCTCCCCCTGTCCCCCAACTTACTGTTAATCACCGTCCTGTACCATCGTCTCTCTCCGTCCACCAGTAAACTGGAGCAACAGATCTGACCCTGTTGAGGATCAACTATGTAGTCGGAGGCTTTAGCGGCTTTCTCCTCGTAGTGATCTCTTAGCTCCTTCATCAGCTGGGAGCAGGGCAAGTGGTTAATTAATTAATTAATTAATTAAGCAGATTCACCTTCTTTAATAGATTTGTTTAATAGATTTAATAGATCGGTACTTCATGGAGTGTGCAATGATAATATTAGTGGTGACTTTATGAGTTAATAGTTAATCTAAAATGCTCGTGAAAACTTGACATTTTGTGAGTTCTTACTTTGAGTCGCTCATTTGATATTCTTAAAACTTTAGTTAGAACCATCTAATAAATTCTCACGCTCTGAGTAAATCAGTAAATGCTCATCGAAAACACCCAAGAGTTATTTTAATATCAGAATGTTTCAGGGACAAAAGGAAATCGCGGCATGTACGGAATCGCGATTTTTCCGATTATTTGCGACAAATTTTATGTATAGTTTAATATACCGCGAAATGTAATTCGCAGTATCGCGATTTTTGGCCAAAATCGCCGCGAAATCCTTTTGTCCCTGGAATGTTTTGCGACATAGTTTAAATAGGTGCACATATAATTATAATGAAACTGCGGCAGTGCTTTAAAATTAAACCAATGCTAACAAATTCTTCGGTTTGATAGTGGTTTTTGTTCAAGAACCGATTATTCGCTAAATCATTCCAATACAGTCATGTTTCCGGTTTCAGTTCAAGTTGGTTGAACGGTTATTATTGCTTAACCATTGCACCAATTTTGCAGGCGGAATAATGTTCTTATTTCGATTGAAGGGATCTAAGAGAGGTCCTAATTGCGATAGGGACTACCGGTGGAGCATGAATTTGTAATGTTCCAACAGCATCTTGTTCTCTTCATTGTGCTGATTCCGGGAAGCATTCTCATCACACTCTCATCATATTAAGAATTGAGATATCGGTCATTTAAAAGCTCATTTGTTTAAAAGGTTGCAATAATATTGCAACCTTAAAAAAAAACCTTAAAACCAGTGCGATTTCTAAATTATTCCGTTTTCAAACATTAAAGTTTACGAACGTCGAACAGGCATCGGTCAACAGTATTGGCAAATAGTAAAAAAGCACTTTAACCTTATTCCGCTACATTTTTGCTTAACATTATACTGGTCGCTTTTAATTCAGTGCACGGCTTAGTTCTTTTGCGTAAACGCAGATGTATTTTAAATTTCCAACGTACTTATTTCCAACACATATATATATATATATGCAACTTTAGAAAACCTAACATAAGTAATACTTATAATGATTAAATCAAGATTATAGTCTGATGATTGACTGACTGATTCTGTGCTATTCTAATATTTTCGGTGACATCGCATTCATGACATAAATAACGGGTCGGCTCACTTGACGATAACAAAAGTATAATCAGAACAATTCCGCGGTCATCACTCCGCGCGAAAATCGAAGAAAACTTCAATAAAAGGTGAGAAACCTGGCCTAGAGAAGTAATACCAGGACCGTCTATCTGGAGAGACAACACCCCCTCTGGAGACACGTCTGTTAGCTTGACCAGGTGCTTCTCCCCGTCATGAGGTAGTCGGGGGCTCAGGTTCCTGATGTCTTGTGAGAGGAACAGTTCGTTCATGTTGTCACCAGTATCTGTTCTGATTTCCACGCTTAGCGTCCTCTCGTTAACTCTGCAAATGTTCAGGGGTTATTATAGTGTTCATGTTGTCACCTGTATCTGTTCTGATTTCCACGCTAAGCGTCCTCTCGTTAACTCTGCAAATGTTCAGGGGTTTATAACCCCGGGTAATAGTGCACATGTTTCAGGGAATATGGGGAGGGGTAAGGAAGGGGATCCTAACCGTGGCCTGGCCCAGGCCTGTTGCTGAGATTTGAGACCCTAGGGACTAGATTCTTATCGTAAATAATCGGATCCAGATAAATTACAAGGGGATTCGGCCCGAGAAAAATAAACAGTTGTAGAGGTAATCCTACGCTGTAGCTCAAGGTTATCACGCGATACACTCTTCAACATGTCATTTGATCAGAAATTAATTGAAATCTTTCGCTCTTACATGTCCTTAATTCTGACGGTAAATTTATGTTCTTCTATTTCGTTTCTAATGAAATCTGTCAGAGATTCGGCGTGGATAATCTTCTCCAGTCCGTATAAACTGCACGACAGCGCCTGGGGAAGTTAGTGGATTAGAAGATTCTATAAGTGCCCACTGCCCTAGTTTATTTACATTTGCATTATTTTAGAGAGAAATAAATTTGACTGGTGATATTCATGATGAGTATTATTCATAGGGCTAAGCTAGATACCGTTATCTAACAGAAACTTACTTGATAAGGCAGTGTTAAGAATCTGGAGTCCAGGTGATAGAGCTCGTCAATACGGTACATCTGAGTGTCGCCATAATCCAGCATTAGAACCTGCCAGGAGATTCAGTCAGTTCCATTACAATATTAAATTCAATAGATCTGAATATTGGTGGGGATAAAAATAGGGTCATAAAATAAGACAAATTTTAGCTACCCATTTATTGAATAACTTTTAAAAAATACGCATTTGAGCATTTTAGATTTGCACTTGAATATAACTTTTAAGAGTCATCTGTCATTTGCAGTATTTATTCATATATTTGAATATATAAATGTGGTCAGTTTAGACTTATCCCACACGTTTCTAGACTGGCCAAAATCAGTTTTTAGTCATTAAAATTAAATTAACCATTTTTGGCATATAATATTGGTCCAAAAGTTGTATATAATTATGGCCATTGTGATCATTTGAGCCATTTCTTTATTTTAAAATTAATATTCTGAATATAATGCGTTCAGCAGAATAGTCTTATTATCCTACCGAACAGAAGAACGGGTCATACTCATAATACTACTCACAACGAGTATTAATAAATAAATATTATTACTATTTAGCCAGTTGACTTATAAGTATTACGTTCCCTAAACTATCGTCTGGGAGCAAGGCAACTGAGCAAGGATATGTCGAGTGAAATCTCAGATAGCAATTGTCACTTACCCCGTATACTGGGATTTACAAGCGATCAAAGTCCATTAAGTTGAGACTTGTGCTACCAAATCACTTAGGATCTATCAAAAACATGTACTGGCATGTATTGGCAGTAGATAGTGACAGTTGCATTGGTATGTGTCAGTTACGCTAAAACTCCCCATAACCAGGTTTCTCGGGTGAAGTTAAATTTTCAGGGCTCATTTTCCCTTTTAAGATCCCGGTAAAATGGGATTTTTATTTACGTGCCGTGAGTGTGTGGCTTAACAGTGCCTTGAGTTTCTGCGAGTTGAGTAACCCTTGTGTGTTATTCGTGCCTTAACTGTGTCTTAAATATCCCGTGAGTGTCCTCGACAGATTATATCTCCGAAACAAATAATAAAACATAGTCGATAAAAGCTTCGCTTAATTTCGTGCTGCGCTCAATAGCCAAGGTATTATAATTCTAATATAATAAATAATATAATAAATCAACCCTCGCACTTCATTATCGGGACCGAAGGAATAAACATGTTTGTTTAATACGCCAATACGGACTCTTCTCATTGCTACACCACAATGTGCTCTGAATCATGTGACAACACAGCTCGTGGTATACTGGTGTATCACGTGACGTGAAATCACGCGACATATCACGCTTCACTAAAAGGTGAAGTGCTTGCAAGAGAGGCCATGTTAGGTCAATTATCACACAATCTTCAATTTCAAATAATTTAATCTGTCAATTTATAATATTACTCGCTTGCTCGCTGTTTGGACGTAGCTGAAGTAAAAATAGACATTCGGTAATGATTAGATCAATTATTGTATTGCATATTCAGTGGTGATATTACAGTGGTGTGTCTCATGTTTGATCCTCGAAAATTTAATCTCAAGACGTTTTAACTCCCGAAAATAGGTCTGAAAAACAACCGCGCCACCAATACATTACCCTAACCAGAAATTGTTCCAAGACATAATCCTAATCCAAGCTAGTTAATTAATCCATCGTTTGAACTCATTCGTATAATTTTAAAAACTTGTCCATACATTAATAGATTAATGATAATGTTCCTCTCCCTGGAGTGAATGCAGCTCAGAAAGATATCTAAATCAGGACCTAATAACTCCCAGTAAAATCATATCTTTACAGCCACACAACCTGCCAGATATTAATATTCACATATCGATGAAGTGGCTAATGATAATAATATGATATTCACATAGATATTCACTAGATATCCAGGAAAACATTGAGTCTGATATTGATGAAGTGGCTTGGTGTGAGAGCTCTGCAGCAAGTTAATTTACGAGTAACTTCATACACAGATGTAATCTCCTGTACCTCTATTTCTAGTACGTTGTTATGTGTTACCTTCTGATATCATAAGCATCTTCCTCGGCAGTTTGTTTTCGGGTATTATCAGTGAAGTCAACTCATGGTGGTACTGGTAATTGGCATACCTTTTTATCCATCTTAAAGGTAATATCGTTATTTGTTCGTGTTCATATAAGCTTTCGACGTTTAATGTTTATACTTCATAAACGTTGTGAGATAAGTGTATTGATATAAACAGATAAGTATATAAATAGAAGGTGCTATCAAATGATACAATAGCTTTTGTGATATATAAATTGACTGCTATAAATTAAACGATTAAATTGTAAATTTCCAAATATCTAAATTCAGTGAACAGTAATTCACTCTGACTCTCTCTCTCTCATTCCCTCTGCACCGTGCAGGGACTAATAAGACTGTGTATATCTAACAAGTGAAACAGTATGTTGTCACCTAAGGGCTGACCTCTCTCCAGTTCATTATAAGTGGATTTACACAACACGGTCACGGATCAGCTAGTGGTATAGGGTTCGGTCATTAAGGAGGAAGTTACAAGCAGTTTGAAATTGTAGCCTTCTATTTGATACCTACTAAACCGTATTCACTGTTCCTATTTAGGTCTATTTAAATGCTTAAAGACGGATCTCTCTGTAGTATAGGAGGGTTAATGCTTTTTAAAGACCGTACCCGGGTCCCGGTTGCTTGTAGGTTTGATATCACCTAGCAGTAGTTATATCCGCTAGGTACTGCTAGGTGATATCATACCTATCGTTCTTCGTTGTGGATGGATAACAGAACTTGTCAGTTGTCTATTTAAACAACGTGTCAGGATACCTTGATCGAGGATACCTTGATCGAGGAAATTGATAGATACAGCGGATGGATAAGCGGTTAAAATTATAATTGGGGTTGCTGTTTTATCAATGGTTGGATTTTGTGCACGTGGTAAACGCCGGCCAATGACTGCGCAAAGAGATGCTTGATCAAGCAGACTTTATGTCCGCAGAACTTTGCTTTTTGATGTCTGACAGATGAGTATTAGTTTGCTTATACTGTTATTATATAGTTTATTGAAAGTATCAACTATTAACCGAACTTTGCTTAATCAAATAGATGCTTCACGTAAATAACATGACAGTTTCAAGACAGTTTCGTAACAGTATTTCAACGATCTAACCTTTCTCAGTAACATGATCTTGACCCAGGGAATGCAGCTAGAAATATAATATCTTCTGCTGCTGTAGCAAAGCTAATATATTTGATGATGCCATGGGGTTACTAAATCATATATTTCACGCGTGAAGCTAAATCACCTTCAAATCAACTTTATTTTACAACACTGCTCCTTAACTGACTTTCTGTGATTCTAAGAATTTGTTTGTGTTTCACTACATTTAAAATTGGGTTTAATTGCAGAATCAACATTTATTTGACAAATTGTGTCAAAATAACGCGTGAGTATAATCAGACAGATATGCTCAAAGGTTATCAATCGTTCACTGCGACGACGCCCGTCGATGATTGGGAAGTGAAAAATTTAGCGACTAGGAAGTGCGTTGTTATAATCAATATCATGAATGCATGTCACGCGAAAATCACTTCAATTATGAAACGTACGTCGTAGAATTGATCTGCGAACTTATATTTTGAATTTTTTTGATCAATGTTTTAAGGTAACCACTTGTTTATTGCGACTCGAGGAATTTTTGATTAAACCTTAAATTCGATGCCCATTTCGCCAAAAGTTGAGGAATAAATGGGCATCATTTTCCGATCAAAATGGAACAAGAATTGCGCCCGTTGTTTTGTTTTGGCGGACGCTAGATTTCCATTTCACATTTACTATAAATTTAAGTATAAGCTCCAATCAGCTCACTTCAATCTTCATGATAATAATATTGATAAATTATGCATCAAATACGGGAAACACTTGAAATTCAGTTCAATTGCCGTAGAACTTAACTTGTATCTGTAATTCAAGAAATTATCAGCAAAGGTAAACTATACTCGTGTACACATCAATACACTATGCGTGCCACGTACAAATTGGGCGTATTACCTAATAGTAATATTATACATTACATGCATCATATACATTAAAACACAGTCGCGCCGCGCATTCATAGATCACAGGCTATCTATACATCACATCTCCGCAAGCAATCCTCGCGCGCGCGCAACTTTTTCGTTGCATGGTAACGGACGGAATGACATCATATTCAGACCCGCCTACTGCTATCTCCAAAATCCACGTTTTTCTGCAAAAACCTCCATTCGTAACCTTTCACTATTGCCTTTTTTCAAAAGGGTGAAAAGGAAAAAATCAAACATATATATTTCTGATACCATGCCCTATTTAGCTAATGTAGCTGTACTGGCTAGCTACTTACTAGCTGTAGAAGACGGCGAGCACAATGGTGATGTTCATTTTCATCATAACTGAAACGAAGATTTCAAGCCTTACGTTGTGTGTTTCCCTTCGTGTCCAAAAGCATTATAAGTTTGATTATTAGTTCACTTTCCGTAAGTAGTATTCCAACAACTTAGAGACTTAGCTTGTCGTTTAAAAGACAACCACTCCATTTAAAACACGTGATACACGTGATATACACGTGATACACGTGATTCAACGGACCGTTATATTATTAACGGTGTTATTTAAATTCTATTTATTGGCTGTTCTATTCAACTTGGTTAAATTTAATTTTCGAACTAAACCTTAAATTTCTATCCAGTGTGGTCCTGTTTCTTAAGTTGCTCGTTCTCGCTATCATTACCACGTGTGTTGACAATGTGATTGCCCTACAAAGCGTCTCTTCAACTAATACACAATTGCGTCACGGGTATTGCTTCTATTATATTATGACAACTTCCTATTAGTATTCGTCGATTGTAACTTCGCTAATTCATTTTAAGGAGGTGTTTGTGACTAATTTATGGATTTAATGCGCAGCACAGAATCCAGTACGTAATCATCAATTCGGGAAAGGGAAGGATCAACAAAATATTTCGTGGACAAGATGTCAAAGGGAAGCATAGTCTCACGCACTGTATACGATGGTGATAGTGAAGCGAAACAAACCA